CCCAAGAGGCCCCCAGGAAGCCCCAAGAGGCCCCCCCCCGCCACATTAGAGAACGCATGGGTCGCCCTCCAGGGTCGGCGGCACCGGCCGTAAAGCCTTCGCAATAATTACTGAGACGCGCTAGTCCGCTTTCGGATGGGCTTCGGAAGCGTCAAGACGCCCCTAAGGTCGCCCAAGAGGCTCCCAGGAGAGCCCAGAAGAGCGCCTCAGAAGATCCCGAAGGGAGCCCCGCAGGGACCCTCAAGAGCAATTGTCGTGCTCCGACGGGATGCTTCAATTAAGAACCTGCCTCTTATTTGATTCATGCTTTCCTAGATCGGCCCCAGTGGGCCTCAAAGAATCCAAAGGCCTCTCACATGTGTGAAGCGAGAATCAGTAGGGCTCCCAAAGACATCCTGAAGCCTTTGACGGCAACCCAAAACTCGAGTACCTCCGAAGACTTCTTTCGTCTTCGGGGGCTTGGCGGAACGACGCTAACCTCTTGAATCCGTTTGGACGCGTGTTGGTGTGTGTGTGTGTGTGCGAACTTGCAGGCGTGAATTATAATTTCTGGTTGCGCAAGGCGCACATGAAATCATAATGTGTGAACGTCTGCATATCGAACCGCACCGTGCCTAGAGAAGTACACTTCTATTATTGTTTCTTCTCTACCCCTTCGAGGGACACGCAAATTCGATGGATGCGCTTACTTGGAGCCTCGTGCAGACTGGAACGGCACGGCACCACGATACGGCGCTCACGCTACTGGGGCAACCCGACAGCACCCAGGACGACCTCTCTGAGACCTGACCAGGGGGGCCCCGACGGCATCCACTGGTCAACCCTCGGACAAGTTGGCCAGAGCAACTTCCAGCCACGCCAGCAACGGTGGAACGCAGGCTGCGTGGCCACGCGGGGGCTGGCCAGAAAGTTGTCATTCGCACGACAAGGTGGGAACGGATCAGCCTGAGACCAGGTAGCACAACGCTGGGCGTCCTGCGCACGTGCAGGGCCCGAGCGCTCGTCAGCACCGGGAAGTCGACGACCCTCACCGCCGACCCTTCTCGCAGCCGGGGACAGCTGCGTGCCAGAGTCCCAGCACCGTCAGATCACCCAACGGAGTACCACAACCAAGGGCAATTGTGCTCCAGAGTCACATCGCCGCCAAGCTTACTCAAGGACACTATCCAAGCCCAACCCTCTCTCTCATCCATAGATCCTACTTATTCTTGCCGCTCATCTTGGGAAGCCCTGCCTGGCTTGAACGTGAACCCCATCGCTTGCAGGATGGAAACTAATACTGCGCGCACCTTCATCGTCTTGCACCCCACTCCGACTCCCAGGCACTCCAGCGGGGCTCTCTGGATGCCTGCCATGGCCTCGGCCACTGCCTCCTTGCCCTGTGACCACGGCCCAGCGTTCTCCCTGCTGCTATACCAACTCCTTTGCCTGCTCTGGACACCTGGGTCCGATCAACATTCCCTGCACGATGAACGTCACGCGGTACACCTCGCTGTCGTGTATCGGCGAGACGAGCAAGTCTATATACATATATATATATATATATATATATAGACATGTGTACATAGTTTACGTGTCACTGGTGTAACAACTCGTGCCCTATAAGCATGGTGAGTGTGTAACACACCGTACGTGATGGCAGTAATCAGCCAAATGAAAGTAGATAGGTCGAGGGGAAAGAGAACAACGGAATGGAGAAGAAGGGTGCGTATCTGGATTCTCGCTCGCCCTCCGACCTTTCTGGCTCGCCCTGGCATCTCTTCCAACTAGCTGATTTCGCATCGTCCTCTGACGCACATTACTCCTCTCTATCATCCCTTCCCCACTTCTCACTTCTCCCCGAACTCATGTTTACCATCTCAACCGCCTTCCCATATCGCCCCCCCATCTCTCCCCCCTTCCCCTACCACGTTCCATCATCATCTTCCTCCAACTGCTCAGCTCACCCTCTCCGCCTCTCATTCTCTCCTCCGCTCCCTCCTCCTCCACTTCCTCCATCTCCCTGCTCAACAGATCCACAACTACACCATGAGAGACGGACGCGCACCTGGTCGTGACGTGGTGTTCCAGCTCCTTCGGGGCCGTATTACCGACATGTCGTCAACCACTTCAACATCTTACTCATCCTCGCCTTTCTGCTGCTCCTCCCTGGCCGTCGTTGCTCGTCCTGCTCGTCCTGGTGCTCGTCCTGGTTTCGCTATCCTCGTCCTTCTCGTCGACTTCCTCCTCCTGCTCCTCCTCCTCCTCCTCCTCCTCCTTATTCTCGACCCTGTCATCCTCCTGCGCCGTACTCAAATGCCGTCTCCGCTTCTGCTCCCAGACTTCGGAATACTTCGGTGCGCCCGGACCCCTGCCCCATCCCCCCCCCGGACCGTCCCCAACCCTTCCCCGGGGCCCGCTTCTCATCCCGCCGTCGATCGGACGTCCATTCCCCGTGCAAGTTTATGATCTCGCGAGGGTTTTCTCTTCCTCGTCGGATGAGCCCAGGTCCTCGCACCCTGTAGGGGGATGGGGAGGGGGAGGAGGCGGAGGCGGAGGCGGAGGAGGAGGAGGAGGCGGAGGAGGAGGAGGATGAGGAGGAGGAGGAGGAGGAGGGTCCTCGCCGAGACAAACGCACACGACGTCCGAGCGACGCCAGGTCAAGAGGCCCGGGCCGTGGCCAAAGGAGACTCCGGCAGCCGCGGCCGTTCTCCCGACGCCGAGGTCCAGGTCGCTGCCAGGCTCCCCCGCGCCCATACTCAAGGGCTCCCAACTTCGCGCTCCGCGCTGCGCGAAGCGCGAAGTGCGAATAACTCCGCGCTCTCGCGCCGCCTCCTAGGGGAGGAGAGGAGGATGAGGAGGAATCGGAGCCGAACGTCGAAGCGCGATCAACTTCGCGCCCTCGAGGGCGCCCTTGCATACTGCAAACCCGCGGATTCCAACGTCGTGTCGTGGTGCTGTCGTCGCTGTCATCGTCCGTCGTCGTCACTGGTGGCCGCCTGGTATCCTCTACGCCTGGACCTCGTGGCTGGTCGCGCAGCGAGGCCAACCTGGAATTCTAGAGCCCGCGGGGTCCAAAGAGCGCGCGTCAGGACATGGGGGATCGCCAGGTCCAACATCCGAGCAGATCTACACCGCAGATCAGATCCACTGCTGTGGTCGGGTGGCCACCCCTGGTGACCAGGAGCCCGCAGGGATCCAGGCGGACACCGCAGAAAAGTGTTGACAAGCAGGGCCCATTCGAAGAAGACACATCTATAACCTTTTCTGAGGTCCGCGCGGACCTTCGAAAACTTTGGTGTATCATCTTCCTGTTTTTTCTTCTTCGAGAGAGCCATATTTTCACATACATATATATATATATAGAGAGAGAGAGAGAGAGAGAGAGAAAGAAAGAAAGAGAAAACAAAAAGAAAGAGAGATCGGGCGGGGGCGTGCCCAGAGGGGGAAGGGGCGGGCCTTCCCAGCAGAAGGCTCAGAGACGCTGCCCAACTCTTCTCTGAGGCCCCCCTGCCGCCCTCTGAGGATGGCCTGCCCCCCACCTCTCTCGCGCCTCCCCCCCTCGGCGCGCCGCCGAGAGGAGAGAGAGCCCAAAGAGCAGGCGTGGCGCCGGGCTCCTCCTCCCGCTGGAAGGCGCACCCGCGCGGCAGGCCGATGCAGTCGCCCTCCAGCGCCCCGAGCTTCCGCACGCGCATGGTCGACTGCGCCCAGCGGGGCCGAGAGGGGGCATCGCCGTCACATCCGTCACTGCACCGACCTTGCAGACGTGCTGCAGAGGGCTTTTGCATGGACTTCTGCCCATGCAAGGCCCCGAAACGGCGCGCGAAACAAGGCACGAATTCCACGTGGATGTTTTGACGTCTTCATTCCTGGCCCCAAGAAGTCCGCGCGAAAGTCATTTCGAAATCCAGAACGACATTCTCCAGGGCAATCTGGGCCCATCCCAATGTTTTCCGAGCGAAATTCGCCTGCGATGTTGGCGACATGACATCAGAGGAGGAGGGAAGGAGAAGGAACGAACCAGCCTCGAACCCGCCGAGTCGTCGACTGGCATGCCTTCGCGTCGCCAACTCGCCCAGTGGCACTCAGGATCTGGCCGGTCACTGCCCGGATGATGACCCACTTCAGGTCGAGGGCGGGAAGGGATGGGGGCAGAGGACGAGGAGGGGGGACGGGGGAGGAGGGAGGGAGGAGGGAGGAGGGAGGAGGGAGGAGGGAGGAGGGAGGAGGAGGAGGGAGGAGGAGGAGGAGGAGGAGGAGGAGGGAGGAGGGGGAGGAGCACGGAGGAAGGCCCTGGCGCCGGCGACCCCGACAGGTCTGGCCTGCAGAGGGTGTGGTCTGCAGGCGGCACCCCGGGGGGGCGCCCCCCGGGCGGCGCGCGGGGACCTCGGCGGAGTCCTCCGCCGCGCCCCCGGGGAAGCCCGACGAGCACAGCGTCGCGCCACCCCGGGCCCCAACGGCGCCGATCGCAGACCGCGCCCCCGGCGCGAGCACGCCCGTTGCAGTCGCCGACCCGGGCCCCGAAGCGAGCCCCAGGAAGGCGTTGAATCTCGAACGCCCGCGCTGGCGTCGCAGCAGGGTCGAGGCACGCACGCATGCCACGACCGACCCTGCGCGAGGCTGCCTCGCACAAGAGTTCTGTCAGCACGTGGGGCCTGCCGCGGCACACGTGCACCGTGCTGCTGCAGCTCGGCGACTGGCGAATAGTGCAGTACATGGCAGGTCAGGTCGTGCATGAGCAGAGGACGAGATGAGAGTAGGAGGATGACGAGGAGGAGGAGACCACATCGACTCTGATCGAACAATCAACGCGCAACCACTGGCACGGAACTTTGCTGCCACGAGGAGACTGAGGCGGTCCGCGACGGCCAAGAATACACCAGCGCGCTGGGAGAAATGGAAGCAGAGGAATTTCTCCCCCAGGACTCGGGTGCACACGGCCGCCTACCTCCGAGGACGCCTTCCTGGAAGACGGCACGGAAGAAATAGAGAGCGGCCAGTGGAACAGGCCCCTGCCCCAATCAGAGCGGCTGGCTGTAGTCCACGTTCGGCTGGCGCGGGGCTCCCTCCACGCGGCGCGGCATGCGCAGGGAGGACTCCTGGTGGTTGCGCGGGTCCTTCAGGGCCAGGTTCACCTCAGCGCGGCTCTGCTGGCAGCTGCCGCACGGCACGTTCTGCTGGGAGTGGAAGGCAATGGCTGGCGGCGAGGCGTCCATGTCGTAAGCGACAACGTACTCGTAGAAGAGGGGAGTGCCCATGATCCAGACCGGGCCGTTCGCCTTTGTGTTGTAGTCCATGGCTCCGAAAGCCGGGGCGCATACCTTCTTGGCACCGCGCGTGGCGTCGGGGTCTGCGGGGATGTTGCCGACGCCCGCCAGGAGCGAATACGCCGTCGTCACGTTGTCGCCCGCGTACGCCATGATGTACGCGTGGGCCGGGATCTTGATGGCCTGCTTTGTGCCGTGCGTGCCGCGGACGTGGAAATGAAGGTCTGGCATTCCGTCCGTGCCGGTCTCGTTGGTCATCCACCTGTCGCAATCCTGAAGCAGCAACTGCAGAATGTCTGACTTGTTCAGGATCCCGTGCATGCTGAAGGGGTTCACGCCGTACGTGGTGTCGAAGATTTTGGTCGCGGCATCCTCGGCCTCGAGCAGCTTAGTGTAGTTGCTCTTGCAGCGGGGCCACTGCTCGCAGATGCTGTCAAGCAACTTCTCGATCTGGGGAGCGGGGCCCATCATCAGGGTCGTGCCAGAGTCGGGGATGGCCCCGCACGGCGACTTCTGGCCCTCGGCCATGTCCGAGTCGCGGCAGAAGTCGACGGGCGTTGCAGCCGCATCGCCCACGGAGATGCCGCGGAAGTCGACGCCCCAGTGTGCGGTGCCCATGCCCCCGTGGCTGCCATTGCCCAGTGGCGCCCCCCCGATGCGCAGGACGCCGTCCGCGCCGTCGTTGAAGCACATCGAGAAGCGGGGAATGTTGACCTCACGCACGAGGCCTATACACTGCCACCGTGTCTGGCCGGGGCCATCCTGCGACCTGGCATGGGTACGCCCGCCTAACTGGCTTGGCCACGAGGGCGAAAACTTGCGGGGCCCACAGTCTTGGTAAGGAACTCGAGTCAACTGCAGTGTTTGAGCATGGGTTGCATGAGTTGTGCCGTAGTGTGATATGTTGGCTTATATTACGCTGTGCTCTGCGTGCGGTTCCCCTTTCCAGTGTCTTGTGACATGCTGCTATGTGGCTTACGTTGCAACTTTCATACGCCATACGTTTCTCCCACTCACTCCTCCCTCTCCTCCTCTTCCCCCGCCGGCGTGCAGGGTGCGCCAACGCGAGTGCGCGAGGACAAGGGTGACCAGGTGCGGTTCACGCCGCCCGTCGATCACTCCGACGACTGCCTCGAGCGAGCGGTGATCCCATACATGCAGGCGGTGGGGGCAACCCGCAAGATTGGACCCGCGCCTCGAGGAGCCCGGAAGCGCGACACCGCGCGGCTTCTGACGAAGCTCGAGGGAAACGATCCCCCGGGAGGGCGCGTAATCGACAATCCCCCCTCCTTGGCGCCTGCACACGTGAAGACACACGCCGCATGCACGCGTGCCAGACGCCCGTGCAACACAACCCCCTCCGCGCACGTACCACTGCGTGTGAAGAATCCGCTGGCCGCGTGTTCGGCGTCCCATGGCACTCCTCTGGGAGCACACGCACGTGAACGCGTGCCAAACGCATACGTGCAGACGCAGTGTCGACGCATGCTCGGCATCACCCTCCGCGCACGTACTTGCGCACGTGAAGAAACCTGCCAACCGCATTGTCGACACTCCTCCTTGGCGCCCACACGCGCGCCGAATGTACACGAGCCAGACTACCCCTCCGCGCGCGTTTTCGTATGTATGACGAACCCGCCAACCGCATGCTGCGTTTGAGAACCCGTGCTCAGTGGACGCCGAGGTGCATGTTGTATACCACGCCTCGGCGCCTCCCCCCTCGCGCACGCACTTGTACATACGAAATCATCACGACAAACGCCAAGGTATAACTGACTGGTCTGCGGCCAGAGAAGCCCGACGAGCAGAGAGAACCATGGACCAGAGCCCTAATCTGGAAACACTACAGGCCAGGATCGGTGCAGGTGTATAGTTGATTCCCTCCGATACTTGCTCAAGGAATCCCTTGGGCGAGTCGCGGTGATGTGGCTTGTGAGTCTTCAAAGTCGTGGCATTCAGCGTGGTGCCATTGGCGTTCGTCACGGCCGTGTCCAAAATCTTGCGCATCACCTGGTCCTGGGGAATCCAAGAGGTACCGATACCGCTACCCCCTGGACCTCTCCCGGGTTCCGTTCTGACCAGAATTTCGAGGCGAATCCAGCGGTGGCCACGAAGGCCTCACCAGGAGGCCGAAACAGGGGAACACGGCAGCGGTGTGGGTATCCTTTCCTCCTCTGAGGTCCGGGATCGCCGTCTCGGCCCCTCCAGCGCCGTTCGCATGGCCCAGGATCTGCTGGATGATGTCCTGCATGCTGCCGCCGCCCAGCGTGGAGTCGGCCGCGGCCTGCTCCTGCTCCTCTTGAGCAGGGGCCGACCGTCCCGGCATTCCTATAGGCCCACCACGACATGTTCAGCTCTGAGAATCCAAAGTGTCCTAAGAAACAAACAGTGATGTTAGCACATGACTCCGATGTGGGAACACAAGACAGACTCGGCCAGAAGTGTTCGAAGAACACTTCCTGCAGGCCCCCAAAAAGGTTCCTAGAACATCTTTTGGTAGGCCAATCGGCAAGCCAAGACGCTTCGCCACTGCTCGAGGTCCTCGATCTGCGTCCAGTTCGTGGCCGGCTGGGGCAGGCCCAGGCCCAGGATGCCCTCGAACGGCCCGGAGATCTGCAGGGCGCGGTCCGTCATCAGCAGCAGGCCGTCGTCCTTAAGGTGCCGGGAGACCTTGCCGACGCTCACCTAGGGGAACGAAGAATGTCATGAGTCATAGACGTAAAAACTCGGAGGTCCGCGCGGATGTCTTGGATCCGCGCTGGACCCCCCTGGCGGCGCCTTCGGCGCTGCCCCTGGCGCGCTCTGCGCGCCAGGGAGGGGGGTGCAGCGCCGATCCGAGAAATCCGCGGAGACCTCTGAGCTTTTATGTTTATATCATTCTTGTTCCCCTATCACCTGCTCCTGAGCCACAATGGCCTGGATCTGCCCGCTGCCGAACGACAGGACCATGGAGACTGGCTTCTCCTCCTCGTCCACCTCCAGGTGGAAGGTGGAGGACTTGTTCGTGCCCCGGAAGCACCTGTCCTTCTTGCTGCACTGGCCCTTGTCCTGGCACACGCACGAGGGGACGATGAGCGAGTTGCTCCCGGTGTCCGCGACGACGCTGAACCTCTGGGCAGGCGTGCCCACGTCCACGTCGATGGTAAAGTGGGTGCCCATGTTCTTGAGGCTGGCGCAGCCTTCAGATGCATCCCAAATGAGGTCCGAGCAGATGGGGTCGGAGGATCGCGCCGCATCGCCGATAGATGCATCGGCGACGTCGGCGATGCATCGGCGACGTCGGCCTAGACAAAATCGGGCTGCACGTCGAGCTGCATCGTCGATACATTGGCGATGCGGCGCGATCCCTCGACTCTATCAGCTCGGACCCCATACGGGAGGCCTGGGAACTGATTTTCATGATTCGCGATAACGCACGTGACCGGCCCAGCCCACCCCCTACACCCCCCCTGGTCACGTCACGATTCGCGCCAGCGCCGTCTGGGAATGAGCCATTCCTGAGAATGCCCAAATGACGCCGGCGCGAATCGTGACGTGACTGGCCCCCTCCCCCCCTACCCCACCCCTGGTCACGCTCGTGATCGCCGTGGGATATCGACGAGCGCGTTCCACCACTCGCAAAGTAGCTACTCACAAATGGCCTGGATCCCCCCAGCGGGATCTACGGTAACTTAACTACATCAAGACAGACGCGCTTTCTCGGACGTTTGCGAGTAGGCACTCTGCGAGCAATAGAACGCGCTCGGTGAGAATAGAACAACACATTCTCCAGGGAGCCTTGGCCTCCATCGAAAGAGGTCAGGTGGATGCCCGTGGCCAGGGTGGCGCGCGCCGCGGCCGCCAGGAGTGCCGTGGAGCCGCGCACCATGGCCCCCGGAGGAAACGTGGACGGTGTCGCGGAGATGCAGTACGCGAGAAACTGCCGGGAACGCCGGGAGAGAACCCCGAGCGAATGCGCCAGCGCGGGATGAGCCCAACCGGCGATGGGGGAGGAGGTCAGGAGGAGACCCTGGCCTCGCTGTCTCTCTCTCTCTCTCTCTTTTCTCTCTCTCTCTCTCACTCTCTCTCTCTCTCTCTTTCTCTCTCTCTTTCTCTCTCTCTCTCTCTCTCTCCTCTCTCTCTCTTTTTTGTTTTTTTTTGTTCTCTCTCTCTCTCTCTCTTTACAATTCACTTTCTGTGAGGTGGCATCGACTGCGGAGCTGACTGGAGCCCACAGGAGGTCAGGAGGAGGCCCCCGACGCCCCCCCCCCCCCCAGAAAAGACAGCGCGTCCGCGGGGAGAGCTCCGAGAGCACCTCCCGAGGGTTCCCGGGAGCCTCCGAGGTCTCCCAGAAATAAAGGGCCCCAGGACACACAAAGAAATACACACAAATAAAAGGATTCTCATGTTTTCCTACACGTTCTGGGTTTTTGGGTTTCCCCCCCACTTCCCGTATTTTCCCATAGTTTCAAAGGAATCGACGATTCATTGTGTCTCTGTGTGTTTTTGTTCCCTCCTGAGCCCTGCTCCGGGCAAGGCAGCGAAGGCGTTGGGCGCTGCCAGGAGGAGCGCTCGAGGAGGAACGACGAACTTGGGCGCCCGAGTTATCCGGGCTAACTCGGGTCCGGGGTAACTCGGGTTTGGATTCCCGAAAAACGAACCCGAGTTATCCCTGACCCGAGTTACCCCTGATGATTCGGGGCTCTGGACGCCCGAAATATCCGGGGTAACTCGGGTCCGGGGTAACTCGGGTTTGGATTCCCGAAAAACGAACCCGAGTTAACCCTGACCCGAGTTACCCCTGATGATTCGGGGCTCTGGACGCCCGAAATATCCGGGGTAACTCGGGTCCGGGGTAACTCGGGTTTGGATTCCCGAAAAACGAACCCGAGTTATCCCTGACCCGAGTTACCCCTGATGATTCGGGGCTCTGGACGCCCGAAATATCCGGGGTAACTCGGGTCCGGGGTAACTCGGGTTTGGATTCCCGAAAAACGAACCCGAGTTATCCCTGACCCGAGTTACCCCTGATGATTCGGGGCTCTGAACGAACGCCCCTCCCCGGCCACGGCGAGCCGCGGCCGCGATCGCGCGGGTTCCCCGACCATGGACCCCAGAAACGGCCGGCCTGCAAACCAGAGCCCCTCCTGAGCCCAGTGTGGTCCAAGGTTTGGCGGGCGTGTTTTCCACCACCACTACCATAAGTGGGAGGGGGAGGGGGTCCTCCTCCTCCTCCTCGTCCTCGTCCTCCTCCTCATCCTCTACCTCCTTCCCCCCTCCAACTTATGGTGGTGGTGGTGGAAAACAGGCCCATGAAGGTTCGAGCGCCCTGGCTGTCGCCGCCCACGCGCCGCCCCGTGGATCCGTCGGAGGCGGCAGGTGCTCTGGGAACGGTCGGAGGGGGGTTTGGAGGAGGAGGAGCGGGGGCGGGGGATGGTCAAGACCCGTCGGAAGGACGTTCACTGCCCCCCTCAGAAGTACCCCCAGAGTGGAGCGAAAGCGCAGGCACGATGATGCGTGGACTGCGTGCTCCCAGGGCCGTGTGGGAAAGAGCATGGGGGAACAGTTAAGGTACAGTCAACCCGTATAGTAAGGACGCGCGGTAAGGATGCAAGGGCCTTGGACGTCCATTCCGAAGCTTATCGAGCGGGACGCGGCCAACGAAAGTGACCCAGGCTGGACCGAGGAGGCAAGCATGCAAAGGTAGCCTTGGGAAGGTTGCCCATCCTTACTATACGGGTTGACCGCAGGGTGCGAAACCACCGGGCGACGTGTCCTCAATTTTTTTTGTTTTGCGCTCTCCACGCTTGCACGATGTGTTGCTCAAGCATCGAGGGGTCAATCTCCACCTTCGACCTCGAGGAGAAATCCTACGCCGAAGAACCTCCATTCTTCCATACGCTCCGTGCCTGCATCACCTCCGGAACTCGGGTGAGACGCGCAAGTTTGCGCACACCAGCGCGTGTGCCGAAATCCGCCGACCTCCGCTTGCTGGGGGCGAGAAGGCGTGTGAGATGATCGGCTGTTCCCCCTCCCCCTTCCCCCCTCCCCAGGGCCCCACATTGAATTTTAGAGGGGGGTGGGGGATGGGGTGGGGGGGGATATCGGGGCACCCCGCCGCACCCCCAGACACGGGAGCTTCCAAATCTGCCTTCCGTGGGCTCAAAGGCGTTCCCAAACGGTCCCGAATCGCTGAGCGATTGGCCCAAGACGACTGCGATGGCTCGAAAACGCCCCAAGACGCCCTCGAGACGCCCCAAGAGCCTTCCCAATAGGGCCCCGACAGGCAAAATCAATGGTTGTACCATGGCTTTTACAAATGTTTCCGGGGTAAACGTCTTCTCGAGCTCTGACGCTCCAAGGCGGCCCAAGATGCTCCGTTGACTGCCCCAAAACTACCCAAGAGGCCCCTACGAGTGCCCCAGGGCGGCTCAAAAGAGCTCCAAGACGGCCCATAAAGAGGTCCAAGACGACCAAAGATTACCACAAGAGAGCCCCAAGAGAAGCGAAGAGGAAGAACACGAACAGAGTATCCTATCTTTCCGCCCCAAGAGGCCCATCGAAGGCCCAAAAGGGGCCCCTTATAAGCCCCGAGAGGCCCCCAAGAGGCCCCAAGGAGGCCCCGAGGCGGCCGCCAACACGGTTCAAAACTGCCTCCAAGAGGCTCCGCCAGGCCCTCGAACAACTCTCAAGACGCCCACAAGAATCCCCGCGCAATGCCCAAAGAACCCACGACGCCTCAACCGTGGACTCCACGCCTCGTCCGTGGGTCGGCGGAATTGCGTAAGTCTCTTGAATAACTCAAGCGCGAACACTCCCGGCAAGCCGACCCACATTACACAACACGCGATCCCCAACGGGCTGGGCCCGAATTGCCGAAAACACGAAGCCCGAAGTGAGCGGCCACAATTGCCCACCGGCAGCGCCAGTGCTCGACTCCGTGAGCCTAGCAGGTGCCCAACTTAACCTGCCGTGCTACCTGCGCCGAACGCAGCCCAACCAGTGGCCAGTCCGAGAGAACTCCCAACTCCCATACATCGGTAGTTTTTGGAATTTCCGGAAAAGGCTACGCCCCCCCTGCAATTCTACTCATTTGCACCCCCTGGAACAACATTGGACAACGTATGCGTTCGGAGGTCATCTTAGGAGCCTCTTGGAGCCCTCATCGGGCGTCTTGAGGGCCTCTGGGGAGCTCTCGAGGTCAGCTTAGGCAGTCGTCGAGCCATATTAGGGCGTCTTGGTGGTCATCTTGGGCCACGTGAGCCGTATTGAGCAGTCTTAGCAGTCATGTTGAAGCCATCTTGGAGCTACCTAGACCCGAATCACCAACGAGATGTGGAGTACAGCCGCGGCAGGCGGCAGACGATGAAGTCCCTTTGGGGAGGTTTGGAGAGGCAAGCGAAGCCTGTATCATGTGGCACGCCAAGCACCCCCGAGGATCAGACCACGGGGGGCTACCGCCAATACCCCGACGGAATCACGTTTCAGCCGAGCGGCTGGAACCTCATGCTGAGAGCTCACTGTCCTACTGCGGGACGGAGACAGGCGTCAGTAAGGTGGGTGGCTGCGGGTAAAACGAAACTCTGAATCCTTACTGTACTGACCCAGACTAGCCACAGGGGGCGGCGGCGTATCTGAAGGGCTGCTTCCTCTGCCGCCGCTGGCCCCCCAGGCTGAGCCATCCTGTGGCTGCATGCTGTGATGCGACATTTCGAAGTATCCTTGCGCCATCTCGGGGCCCTTGGAGCCTCACACACGGGCCACCCTTGGGACAATTTGGATGATCATGGGGCTATCTTGAAGTCCCTGGGGCTCATGGTGAGAACCTCTGAATGAAGGCCCGGTGGCGCCATCCTGGGCGATCTTTGCCTTGCCCGTGCATGCTTCGGTTTCGTGCCTGTCTTGCTACATGATCCAAGCTGCTCCTGGATGGTTGAGTTTTTCTGGCGCTGGCCTCGTCGAAGAAAGTACACACGTCCGAGCGATGCCAAGTATTGCGGCACATTGGGGCCGTCTTGAAGCGATCCTGAGACATCCCAGGAGAAAAACGGGGGCAGGCATAACACATTCGAAACACTATGGTTTGACGTTGCTGCTGTTCTCTCTCTCTCTCTCTATCTCGGCGGCAGCATGGGGCCCTCCTGGGCCATCCTGGAGGCATCTTGGGGCCAGCATCGGCCAACGTGGGCTCTCAAACCCTCTTCGGGGCCTCTTGCGGCTGCCTTCGCGGCGTCTTGAGCTCTCTTGGCTCTCTGGTGGCGTCCCGCTTGGAATCTCCTGGCAACATCGGGCGGCCAGGAGACTGAGCCCCCCTCGGGTGGCTGCTCCCCCCCTGGTAGACAGTAGAGGAGGAGACGGGACTGGAGAGACAAGGGACAAACAACAAAAGGCGCTTGCGGTTCAAGGGGGGCCCTTCCCGCAACGAAGGACAGCGGCTGCAAGGACTTTTGGGGGGGGGTCCTGGGACGGGAGGGTGCGTTGCAGCATCTTTGATGCGCTCTGGTCCTTCTCCCAATCCTCCTCCCCCCTCTTCCACTCCTTTTCCTTATGGATAACTCCTCCCTGTCGCGTCCCGAAGCCGGTCGAAAGGACGGGCTGGGCATTTCGCCCGAGACTTCCTAACCATTTAAGATGCTGGCGCTTAGAAATTGCAGCAACTTCACGGTTGGAGGGCTGGTGGTTTTCCAAATGTGGCTCTCGCTTTAGCGCCGCGCACATCCATCTCAACCATTTGCAAGAGTCTCACAAATCGAGGGCGGCCCGTTTTCGAAATGTGGCCCTCGCGTTGGCACCGCGCACACATCGTCATACTCATTGTAAGACTTTCACGGATGGGGGGCGGGTAGTTTTTTTGTCCCCTCCTCTCTCTCATATAAATATATGTATACA